GAATGTGCAAAGTCAACCCTGTCAACGGCGTTCTTGGCTGGAGGAATAGAGAGAGCATACAGTGAAAAAAACCTCACAGAGCACATGGGCTTTAAAAAGGGGAGAGACATTGGCCGAAGGATTCAAACCTTTCTCCTTAGAAGAGATTTGATAGGAAGAAGACATCGAAAGATTCCTACCTCTGGCATTAAATTAAATTTCTAATTTCAGGCTACGAAGTAGGCACAGGAGGGAGTATATGTTTAATTGTGAAATTATAGACATCTTTCATAAATGATATTGACTTTTGGCTCCTTATAGATCTTATCAGTATTATGCTGTCCTCTTACTCATCATTTCTACTGCTGCCCAAATCTTTAGGGTCAGGAACCTCCACTACCTATGTGAGGTAGAAACTTCTAGATTCACATCACAAACAGGAGCTAAGTCTCTTGCAAGGGGAAGAGGAAAGCTCAGTGTTACTGCCTTCAGCTGTGTTAGCTGATGTCGACAGCTGTTATAGTGTGAGACGGAAAACTAGATAGTCCATTCTATGCTCAGAATACATATTGATAAACACAAATTCTCGTGAAGATCCAAAACAAGGAGGCGGTGGGAGAGAATGAGTATTTGGCTTTATCTTAGACCAACTGCCTGTTTGCTGTTCAATATCCATTTACTTCTCTGGTGCCAAGAAGACTTATTCAAATGTCTCAGCTAACCGTGCCCCACACAGCACGTCAGTGTGCAGAGTGCCCTGTAGGTGTAAAAACGTGGCTTTGTTTGCCCTTGTTCGTGAACAAAAGCTTCTTTTTTGTTAGCCTCCCAAATGTTCCTTGCCATTATGCAGAAATACATTAATTTTGAAACAAAATAAATTGTGTACATTTTTGGAAAACAGAATGAAAAATCATACACATAAATACACACAGGCACACTGAAACTGACATTACCGTGTTCCTCCTTGTGTGTCTCGGAGTTATAGCCAACACCTGTGGCCACACAAGGGGCAGCCTTTGCAGCTGCAAAACCCAGATGTCAGACACTGGATTGTACGTCCCTGGCAGCAGTCCGAAGTGGGAGGTCGTCTCCTTAACTGACCTCTGAAATGGTCTATTGTCTGATTCCCTCTCTGGCCTGGGTGGTAACTAACAAGCGTCTGTGGACTGGTTTGGAGTTAGCGTACTGATGGGTTGTTCTGGATGCAATTATCCTTCGCCTTACCTTTGATTGTAAGGAATTTACTTCCTTTGTAGGGGTGAAAACTGGGACTGGGAACGTTCTTGACAAAGAACTACATTCAGGTTTCTTCAAAGGACAAAATAAGATGCTATTTACTTTGATTGTTTTGTTTTTTCCCCCAACTGAAATTGGATGAGATCAACTTTGCATTAGTATACAGTTGAGTTTTAGTTACTCAGAAATACAGAGTTTCTTGGGGGCACTTCTCCCGTCTGAAAGAAGGCTGAGTTTCCTTATGCTGCTTCTTAAAACAACTTCTTAAAGGACAAAATGAAATATTTCTTCTCTTAGAATCTTAAGGAGCTACAACTATGTTTTTGCTATTACTAAAAAAAGTCAACTACTGTAAAGAAGAGCTCTTTGTAGCATGCGTTATGTTGGTTCTTTAAAGAGGAAAGTGATTATACATAGCCCTGCCTCTTCACCACTTGGTGAAGAATAGCATTATGGGTAAGATGCAATCATTGTGGGAATGAGGTGGGAAAAGGCCAAGCATCTAAGAGGGCTCCACTTACAATGCAAGACTGGTAGCCCCAAAGGGAAGGCCTACCTTGAATACAGTTATCGTCCTGGCAAGTAAAGGAGAAATACATCTGATATGTACAGGAAGATGAACTCTGAGGAAATTATAGAATGTATCATCATAACCAACATCAAATGGTATTCATCTGCACCATGTAAAATGTTCCAGATTTTCTTTATTAACTTTATAATAATGTAAACATACCTCTTGGCCACAACTGATTTAGATTTGGAGTCCCAAAATAAAGACGTAAATGATAAAACCATCAATCGATCAGTTGGAGAAGAGAGACACATCTTTCATACAGAATTCCAAATCATTTATATAGCCACTAACCCCTCAAGAATGTAGAGTGTAATTCCCTACCTTGAGCGTGGGCTGTGCTTTTTGATTGAATTACAAAGAGTGGGGTATAAAAGGGGGGGAGAGGAGGAGTTACTTTACAGTGCAGAGACCTGGCGAACACTACCTTGGCCACTTGATACAGGTTAACATCAGCAATGAGGTCATGTTGACAGCATGTACCCTTGATATGATACGATCTCATTGAAGGGCATTTCACCTTTTTAATATTCCTCCGAAAACCTATAACCATAGGCTAACCATGCAAAATATTAGCTAAATCCCATTTGAGGGACATTCTACAAAATATCTGATAAATACACCACAAAACTGTCATAGTCACTAAAAAATAAATAAATAAATAAATGTCTGAGAGACTGTCACAGCCAAAAGGAGCCTAAGGATGACTGAATATAATGTACTATACCAGATGGGATGCTGGAAGAGAAAAAGGACTTTAGGGGGAAACTGACATGTGAATGGAGTGTGGATTTTAATTAATAGTAATATCCTAATGTTGGTTCCTTAGTTGTAGCAAATGGGAGAAACTAGAAAGAGGTATATAAAAATGCTACACTATTTTTGTAACTTTTCTATAAATCTAAAGCTATTCTAAAATCAAAAGTTTATTTAAATTAAAAGATGAATCCACCTGGTGTGGCTCAGTGGTTGAGCATTGACCCATGCACCAAGAGGTTGCCGGTTCGATTCCTGGTCAGGGCACATGCCCAGGCCGGATCTCCAGTGGGGGGCATGCTAGAGACGGCCAATTGATATTCTCTGTCATCAATGTTTCTCTCTCTCTCTCCCTCTCCCTCTAAAATCAATAAAGGAAAAAAAAATTTTATTTAAAAGATGATTAACACATTGTGACACTAACTTTAACAGAATCTCTACACTTCAATCAATAACATCTTTCTTTTTCACCCACACCTATCCACCAAACCATATGGCATAAAGAGTCATTTTCCTGACATATAAGAATACTTCATCTTTTAGGTGTAGTATGAATGGAGTCAGACCCATTCTGAGAGTTTTAGGTTTCCCAGTAATATTTAGGTCATGGCCTTAGTAATACGACACAGTGCTCAAAAGATGGGTCTACAAACCCCTATTTCTCAAGGGCTTTAAAAAAAGTTACATCCTTCAGCTGCCTATACAATACATTTAAATTTCATGTGAATGTTATTAATGACATGATTAAAAAGACAATGCATTAATCTCCAAGGGTAACACATTCTTTGCTAGATTACTGAGGGCAGTATTCATTTACTGATCCATTGTTACCAGAAGAGGTAAGGGGTAAAGTCTGATGTACCACTGTTTTAGAATAAGGATGAGGTTATTTCTTTGCTACTCTCAATTTTTCCTTTAGAATTATAAGAAATGAGGACTCTCAGAATTTTAGAAGATATTTATTTCGTAGTGTTTTCAATTTATCATTTTACTTTGAGAAAGAAGTGTTGGTGTCGAACATTTACTTAGAAAAAAAATAGTGTCGAGTTCCTAGAATCGTTAACAAGAAATGTGCTTTTGTTAACATTTAATATTACAATTTCTAAAGTCCAGTTAATCACAATTTAATTAACCAGAATAATAAATTGGTCAGAATTGCCTGTTTTTAGGAAAGAATGCAAATGCCATTTTTAAAAAGCTGGGAGAAAAAATTATATGCAACTTCCTGCATATATTTTAGGGGTAAAAATAAGATTCAGTAAAATCACTTGTACATTCCATACCTACAGTACTTTACGATAACTCGTTAAGGGAGGAAAAAACCATGATACTTGAAAATAGGTGAAAAAAAGTGTTCCCTATAGAATTCTTAACTAAGGAACCGCAGAAGAGTCAACCAACATATTTTAGGAATATTTTTCATAGTGAAATAGTACTTAATATGGAAAAAAGTAATGGGTGGGAGGGATATACAATAAATTTGGGTAGCTAGTTTTTATATTATCCTTTAAGAAGTTCCGTTAATGCATGTTTTGCATTTCATTAGACTATGGTGGGTGTTTAGTAACAAGAACATAGCAGTTCTCTTGCCCAGAACACAGATGATGTGTCAAACTTCGTGCTGCCAGGCATTTGACATGCACCATCCAAAACCTCACACAACCCTGCAAGGTGCGCACAATGACTACCTAACAAGCACGGGAACCAAGGACACCAGAAGTGAGGGGACTGATGCCAAGTCCCACAGCTGGTCAGGGAGGGAGCCACTACTGACCCTTCCCACAGCACAGCTCCGTGAATGACTCACGACGACGTGACTTCGGGCGCTGACCTTTCTAGGCTTCAAGTTTCTCTGGGGTAAGATGGAGTTGGCTGGCTGACTTCTAATGTTCTCTCCCAGTTTTAAAATAGGAACATTGATTTATATACATTAAATACATATAACATTAAAATGAGAACATTAAAATGGCCATTTTCCCAATGTTTTTGTTAATAATAGGTTATTAACACTGACGCTTACTAATGCTAGTGATGATGAGATCTATCTAGAAATGTTCATTGATTTCTCTCAAACCTCTTCAGTCCTGTTAAGCCAGAACTAGTGAGTGATCTTACCATTTTCAATGTTATTCCTTAAAAGTTGCATATAAGAGGAAATTTCATACTTTTCTGTACCCCACACAAAAGATTTACTTAAATATTTGCCTCCCAAAAATCAATAACTTGCACTCATATGGGAATAATACAAAGAAATCATTTTTCTGGATCTGAAATTAATCAAAATATTAGTTTATTTTTATTCATATTTATTTAAATATAATTTTTGACAAATGAAAACATGTATAAGCATATTTATAACATGGTAGACATACATATAAATGAAATGTATAAATTTGAGACAATGAAATGTATAAATTTGAGACAATTTAACATATATTAGATAAATTGATGACATGGTTAGATTTACCCTTGAGGTACAGTAACATGGATATTAAAAAGGATGGGCTTTCACAAAAACTGCTGTAAAATGATCACATTTTTGTTAGTAGTAAGTCATATTTCCTAGACTGATGTTTTACAAAAACTAAAGATCTAACTTAACCATTTACCTCATATGATAACATTATTTGTAAATACACATTTTTTCAATAGAAATGTTCATCTTTTAAATAACATAGCATTTTTATCAAGAACATGCCACATTTATTAAAAAGACATGCATACCACATTAGAACTTGAATAATTCATGTACCTTTATGCACAGTGTTCAGTTTTGCTATGGCAGTCTATATCTTTGTGAAAAATATACTTACAATTTGGCACAGAATTAATAAATGGTATTGCTACTATTCAGAGCAAACGTGAGTCAAAGTTTATATGGCACAGAAAACACCACCACAACTTCCCGCTTCCCTTTGCAGCTGACTGACCAATAGCAGTTCTTTTCTGTTTTGGTTCCAATAAATAATGGATATTCAAGAACTAGAAGTCATATCTAGGTGTTCTGCCTACAGTCTCATTGGAAATGAGTTGATTTCCGTTTTTCTGGCAGTAAGACATTTCCTTCTGTGTTGTGGCCAACACATTTCTAAATAAGGGTGTTTGTTATCAGCAGTGTGTATCATCGTGAGATGTGTTTCTTTGGGAGGCAGAGAGGTGGGAAGGAAATGTGGGTCTCTTCAGAAACTAGGAACATATGTGGTCAGGAGAGTAGATGCGAACAAAGGCAGAAGCAGAGGCAGAGGCAGGGAACGTTCTTAGGGAAGCTCGCGAGGGGGCACCTCCAAAGAAGCATCAAGGCAGAAACAAGGCAGGAACACAGGAATCACTCAGGGTGCAAAGGACCGCCGTGGGCTTAAGGAAGCGGAAATTCATCACACGAGGCGACAGCAGCGAGAGCATTCCTGTACCAGCAACCCCCCTTGCTTTTTAGGAAAAGTTTTCAATTTCCCCTTCAGTGTCTATATCAAGACTAAGAAATTAAGCTAACTGGCAACAATTTTTTCTGAACTCATTCGTAAAATCTTTGGAAGAAGAAAGAGAATAATATTAACTCAAGCTTCCTCCAAACCAGGGAAGAGAATTCACACTCTCTCGAAGGGCAGACTTCAGACTTGTGGTAACCAAGGAAAATGCCACGGTTCTTTTTCACAGTTCTTCTAAGAGAAATTTGAGGTGTTATATTTTGAGAGCCTGATTAAAGAAATCTACTCCTTTCATGAAACTATGATTGCCTAATTTTTCTATTATCTGGGAAAAGGAAGTAGAAGTTCCATTTTCATACAAATATATTTTATTCTGAAAACCAGGGCCATGAACACTATTGTTTACTTTAGGGTGCTAGCTTTTCTGAGGGCCTTCAGACAATGAAATGGCAAAGAACACAAAACAGGTGAAATACAATAGGCAAACTTTTGTTTTAAAGCTGTTAAGGTACAAACAAAAATTACGAATCACAGAGCACCGAATTTTCCAGAGTAAAATCATACCAAAACCGTGACAAGTTCTCACTGACATCGCAGGCGAGCAGGTGGTCGGGAAGGTCACTGATGGTGCCCTGCACGGCCAGCACGTGCGGGGCCAGGGTGAAGGGCACGTCGGCCAGAAGCTCAGCCATCAGCGAGCTGCTTTCCAGAGGCTGGCCTGCCGGCCTCTCCGCCTCAGGGCCGGCTGCAGTCACACCGGAGGGGTTTTCTTTGCCAGTCTAAAAATACATACATATTCAGATCATTCAGACCTTACGGATTTGGAGGCTTAGTAATGGTAAATGTGGCACGAATATGCCGAAATGAGAGAAATGGGGCACATATAAATATTCCCAGATCAGAATGTAGCCTGAGAAAGACATGCACACGGAGCTGTACTAAGCTTTAAAGTGAATCCTAAACCCGACTCCTCCTCAGGCTGACCACCCATGACCCCTCAAACACAAACTGCCATTCTTGCTAGTTCCCTGGCCCAGTAATGTCGAGAGAGTCTGTCTGCTTTCAGGCTGGACAGAAGCACCAGATTCCCTGGGCAACCTTGCATCAGCACCGTGCAGCGTGGCCTTGCCCACTTCGGCGTGATTACGGAGCAAAGTGCCTAGAAGTCACTGGCATTTCCTGAGTGTGTCCTTGCCAGTTGCTGTTTCACATGCGTAGGTCTATCCCCAACTAGACACGAGGGTCCTTGAGGGCAAGCGATGTTGCTGACATGTCTTTGCATTCTCTGCCTTGCGTATCTGACTACCTTACCCTAATATATACCTGTAACGTGTACCATGAGTACTGATTGTCTGACTTTCACAGGAACTAACATCTTAAATTATTCAAACATGAAGAATTGATATATCTTGTTCAATTTCTTTAAAATCGGTATATCTTGCAAACAGCAGTTTACCAAAAGGCGTGCAGTAGGGAGCTCATAGGATCCATCAGTAGTACCAGTCATTTCAGTTTCTTCATTGAAACTGAAATATATTTACAGCAATGAGAATGAAAAGTGGCTGAAACCAAAATCAAACCAGTTTAGGCAAAAATTTCCTGTCACACCCCACGTGTCCTGGGCGCCTCTCTGACCTCATGGCAGCGAGTCTGTCCGGCTCCCTCCAGTCCAGTCTCAGGGGCTCCTCACGTGCACACCAGCCTGCTTCTGCCGTAGGCCTTTGATTTTCAGTCCCCGTGCCGAGGAGGTTCTGCCCCAGATACACACTGGGCTCCTTCCCTCGCCTCCTTCCAAGTGTCGGCCCAAATGTCACCTTCTCAATGAGACCATTTCCTGACCCCATATTTAAGCTGCACCTGCCCTTCCTGTCCCCTCCTCTCCACAGCCGTTAGCACCTTGTTCTGTGTAATATAATGTATTCGGGTCATAATCCACCGGAAACCCAAGGAGTTTTTATCTCCTGTGTTCACTGCTGTATCCCAAATGCCCAGACCAGTGCCCAGTGCTCAATCAATATTTATTATTTGGATGAAAGAAGACAAGATTTTTGCTTGTATGGGGCTTACATTATAACAGTTATAAATGTTGATAAATTCCCTATCTCTAAGTCTAGAGAAGAAAGATTTTTCTGTATAAGAAATAATTTTAAAAAACTTTTTATGGAAGTGTAAAAGACATACAGAGAGGGTACATCGAAAGTTACAGCTTGCTCAATTTTAACCGACTGAAACACTCGTGAGCACCCACATCACAGAACAAAAATGACCAGCTCCCCCAGAGCCCTTATGGGGCTCTTTCTGTCACAATCAGCTCCCTGTCTCTGCCCCGTCACCATCCTGACTTCTAACAGCATAGACTGGTTGGCCCTATTTTTGTGTTTAAATGAAGGTAATCCTATAGTATAAACTCTTGTTTCTGGCTTTCACTCAACATTGTATGGAAGAGATTCGTCTATATTGTCGCATGTGGGATGGAAAAGAACACATCGTTGCAAAGGAGATACATTCAGACAGACTGTCTTGCAAGGATCGCTGCGGTGGCTGTGCTGACAGTGGGGTGGCAGGTCCGGCGGCCAGGAAAGGACACAGGAAGAGCGGCTGAGAGATGACGGTGGTGTGGGTTAGGTTGTGGTGACACAGGTGGGGTGAATGGTGGGACAGGGATATACTTGCTGAGGGGTGGAGGGGGGCAGGAGAGCAGGAGCGCAGTCAAGGATGGATGAAGGCATGTTTTGGCCTGAGCAGGAAGGTCACGAGTCCAGGTTTGGTCATCCCAGGCGCCCCCAGACACCCAAGTGGAGCTGCTAACAGGCAGGGGGACACACTTCGAGCTGGAGCTGGGTGAGAGAGCTGGTGGAGAAGGTCTCTGGGTGTGTGTTTAAAAGAGCACGGGAGGAAAGAAAGTGAAAAGTGTGAGAACGGACAATTATCTCAAGACATTATGCCGCAGACGGGAAGAGAGACATGGGCCAGCAGCTGAAGGAATGTGGGGTCAAGTGAGCTTTCTCTTGATCTTATTTTCTGTTTTCCAAGTTGAAAGAAACAAGGGCAGTTCATAGGCTAATGAGATGGAGGTCATAAGAAAGGAAAAAATCAGTGGCGATTCTGTAGAGGAGGAACTGCTCTCTTCATGGGCATCAAGAACGATTTGAAGTTATCAAATACATCCCTAGTGCAAGTGGTCTGATATGTTTATGTGAAAATAAAATACCAGAGTACTTTCTTAGGATTGTAAATAGAACAGTAACCATACCCTGTCGTGACAAAGCTTATTAGAAAGGCCCCTATGCAGTGGACAGAACCTGCCTACTGACCCCTAATGGGACTTAGATAATATGATCTTAGGTCAGCCAACAGCACGGGGAGCAGTGATGCCCGATTCCCCGATTCCAGGGAAGGGCTGCCCCATGGCTGCTGTCTTTGCGGGTTAGTACGCACAGGGCTTTAGTGACGGGAGCAGCATGCTTAAGACAGAGTCTAGAGCTCTTGCTTCGGTGCAAATCCAAGGTCTCCTGCTTATTATTATTATTATTTTTATCCTCACCTGAGGACATTTTTCCATTTTTGTTCAGATAGAGGGGGAGGGGGGGAGAGAGAGAGAGAAACATTGATGTGAAAGGGACACATCGAGTGGCTGCCTCTTGCACAACCCCAACAGGGGCTGGGGACAAACCGCAGGCGAGGTACGCGCCCTTAGCGGGAACCGAACCTGGGTCTTTCTGATCCACGGTCCGACGCTCCAACCGCTGAGCCACACTGGCCAGGGCAAGGTCTCCTGCTTATTAATAAGCAAATGGCCTTGGGCAAGTTATTTAACTTCTCTGCCCCTCAGTTTCTTTAGCTGTATAATGAGATCAATAACAGTACCTATTTCACAAGATTGTTATGAGGATTAAATAATGTTCATGAGTAGAAGAATGCTTAGCACGTGTTAAAATGAGTACAGTCTTTCAGAATGTCAGCTCCCACTGGCCCTAGATGTGGTCCAGGATCCATTCCTCTCTTGTCTGAGGCACTCACTGGTGCTTGGAACCACCTCACCTTCCCCTCTCCTCCGACATGCTGCCTCTCTCCGCCCTCAGGAGCGGATGCTCCCTGGACTGCTAGTCTCATCCTGTTCTTGAGCTTTCTTCCCCTTCCTTGTGTACAGAACGTTGTCCAGCTCCATCAGCCAAGTCACCTCCCTTCTTAAACAAAGGCATTCCTGACATCTCACCTCGCCACGGAAGCACTCTGCTTTCTAAACACAAAGCTTCTGAGGGTCAGCGCTCCAGCAGAAATGCTGAGTTATTCGTTCATGCTTTCATTCATCCTCTCCCCTTCTTTTTTTTTAATCCTCACCAGAGGACATTTTTCCATCTTTTGTTCAGATAGAGTGGGAGGGAGAGAGAGGAACAGAGAGAGAGAGAGAGAGAGAGAGAGAGAGAGAGAGAGAGAGAGAGAGAGAGAAACATCAATGTGAAGGGAACACATCGAGTGGCTGCCACCTGCACGACCGACCAGGGCCGGGGACAAACTGCAACCGAGGTACATGCCCTTAGCGGGAACCGAACCCGGGTCTCTCTGGACCGTAGGCCGACGCTCTAACCGCTGAGCCAAACCGGCCAGGGCCATCCTTTCCCCTGCTTTACAGTCCTTCTTCCAGGACACGATTGAGGACAACCTGCATGGAGACCTTTCTAATAAGCTTTGTCACAACAGGGTGTGGTTGAAGACCATGTCAAACTACATCTAGAATAATAAAGGAATTGAGATGTGGTTTCTTGTTCAAGTTCTCCTGATAAATCAGCCTCATGACCAGAAGGGCACTGCTTCACCCACTGGGGCCTCAGCCCTCTGTTCTGTAAAACGAGTGGTGACGGACAAAAGATGATGAGCCCTGGTCAGTGTGGCTCAATAGTTAGAGTGTCGGCCCTCGAAATAAAGGGTCATGGGTTCAATTTCTGGTCAAGGGCACGTAGCTGGGTTGTAGGTTTGATCCGCAGCCCTGGTTGCGGTGCCTGCAGGAGGCAATCAGTGTGTCTCTCTCTTTCTCCCTCCATCCCTCCTTCCTTCCACTCTCTCTCAAAATCAATAGAAAAAATACTCTCAGGTGAGGATTAATGCCTCCCACCCCCCAAAATGATGATGATGATGACAGCGACTAGCACATATTGCACACTTACTTCGTGCGAGGGTCCATCTAGGCTGTTTAAATGTACTCACTCAAGCCTCCCAGCTCTGTGGGGTGTGTACCGGGATCAGTCCCATGTTAGAAACAAGAGGACACTGAGGCACAGAAAGGTTAAGGAAGTTGCCCCAGGTTGCACAGCAAGTCTGTGATAAAACAGGATCAAACCCAGTGATCTCTAGTCCGCTAATGCACGTAAGACCTGGCACACTTCAGACATACTCTGGACAGACTAGATGACTAAGTGAACAGAGCCTGGAGAATTTGGGGAACAGTCCTGGAAAATATGGCCGTTTCTACATGGCATATCTGGCTTCAATTAGAAGGAAACAAGACTAATATCTTTAGGGAGAAAGGACAGAAGCTCATTAAGGTGACGGATCTTAGACTGAAGAAGGATAGAAAAGCAACTGTAATGGAACAGAGATCTGCCCCTGGAGACGAGTCGGCCAGGAGGCTGGTAGGGTAACGCATGGACGGTGAAACAGACGGACTGCGAGTGGATCCTCGCTGAACAGGAGAAAAGGAAGGTACTTGGGAGGGTACTAGTGTTCTTCCTTTTTTTTTTTTTTTCTTTAAATTCTCACTTGAGAATATTTCTCTATTTAT